TTGTCAATGTGCGGGGCGTTGGCCAGTCTCTAATTGCCGCTATCTTGTTGTCCTCTGGCTTAATGCCATATCTGTCTAACACGTGGCCAAAGTACAAAACTTGTGTCTTGGCCCACTCACACTTCTTCGGGTTGATCTTGAAGTTAGCCTCTCTTAGCTTCTCCAAGACCTGCCTCAAATGACCCTGATGCTCTTGGAGGGTCTTGCTGAAGACTAATATATAATCTAAATAGACTACTACAAACTTGTCTAACCACGGTCTAAACAAATCATTCATACAACGCTGAAATGTAGCTGGCGCGTTGGTTAGTCCGAAGGGCATCACTATGAACTCATAATGCCCATATCTAGTCCGGAACGCAGTCTTGTACTGGTCATCAGGGTGGACTTCTATCTGATGGTAACCGGACTTTAAATCTATCTTGGAAAAATACTTGCAACCCTGCACCCAATCTAAAAGATCGTCTATCGTGGGCATCGGCTCAGCATTCTTCACTGTGATGGCATTCAAACCCCTATAGTCTATACACATTCTCAACTCTCCTTCCTTCTTGGGGACAAACAAAACCGGTGCTCCAAAAGGAGACGAACTGAGCCTAATCCAACCTTTCTCTAGGAGCTCGTCCAACTGCTTGCGCAACTCCTCTAACTCTCTAGGGGACATCCAGTAGATTGCTCCCTTAGGAGTTCTACTGCTAGGCTCTATCTCTATCTTGTGTTGGATTGGTCGCGACACTACTCCTGTCGGCAACTCAGTCAAATCTTTGAACTCCTCCAGTAGCTTGGCAATGGTTGGATCTGTGGAAGTCACCTCTTCCTTAGCCTCAGTGACAGGTCTAACATACACTACGAAGACCTGATCCTCTAATTGCTCCTTTCTCACTAGTCGCGCGAACGCGGGAGCACTGAAACAGCAATGTGCCAGAGTGTTGTCTACACCTGACACATGAAACAGGCGGGCAATCTTAACCTCGTCTGACGGACTAGGGAGCCTACACTCATGCTCTCTCAAATGGAGTGTGCCCCTTGCCGCCTCTCCCCAATCCATTCCTAAGACTATGTCGAAAGGAAGGTCATCCTGCACGAGGAGAGTCAAGGAATGGAGAACTTTCTCCACCTTCCCATCTTTCTCTAGGCGAAAGTACGCCTGGACTCCCTCTACGTAGTCCTCAACACGCATAGTGCGGTTGTCTGCGAGGACACTGACTATGGGGTCGGCCAACTTTTGGACTTTTAATCCAAGCCTCAACTTCTTTAGCGCTCTACGGCTAATATAGCTACGAGTAGCCCCTGAGTCTACAAGGGCCCCTACTCTATTCCTGAAAACTTCTACATCAATTAGGATTAGCTGTCCCTTACTCTCCTTCTTCATTTTGGCCCACGCAGGCATCCTCTCCTTCAGCTCTTCTGCCACGCTTGTGAGGGACGTGCCTAGAGAGACGCTAACACAAGCAGTCTTCGGACAACTAGCTAGGCACGGGCCGACAACCTCTGCCATAGGCTCATGTGGTTTGGGAGTTTCCTGTATGCGCGCGCTCGCTTCCCCACATGGCCTTGAAGTAGGGGCAGTTGCGACCCCTACTCGCGGCTGCCTTTTGACTGCTGAGCAGCCCATCGGGCCTGTTTGTACTTAGGACAAAATTTAATTACATGGGTCGGGTCACCACAAAATATGCACTGACCCAAGTCCACGCGTTCCTGCCATACGCGCTGGTCCAAGCCCAAGTCTTCCCAGGGCCTGCCCTGCGGCAAGCCTGGGTGCCATCCTCCTTGAGGTGGCCTTCCACCTCGTCGCTGCGGGGACCGACAAGAACCTTGACGATTTGGCGGGGGACCTTGACCCCTACCTCCCACTTGGAGGTTCCCTGTAGGGGACTTCATCCGTACCACCTTCTTCTAAAGTAAGGATCATGTGATCCTTGGCCCTGACTTGGCCAAAGATGGTACGCCCTTTCCACTTCTTCCCTTTATCCAAGTCCTTATGCCAGAAAGTGGAAACTGACATGGACTTTGACTCAAACAGGACCACTTCTCTACTTAACACATCATAGGTGATGTCGGCCTGTTGAGATTTGTCGAAGAAATACCCACGCAGGGGCTCGGGCATGGCACGATAAAACAATTGGACCAGTTGGGTCTCAGTGACCCCATGGTCCGGGACAGCTACCAAGTCGTCCATGACCCCCTTGAGTGCTCTTGCACTCCTCCACTGTCGTGAGTGGATAGTTTGTAACTTTTCAGAGGCTCTAACGCCTCTCGATGGATCAGCAAATCTCTCCCTCAGGAGTTTAAAGAATTGAGGAAGGGGGGTGACCTTGGAATATGCAACCATGTTGTTTTCACAACCGGTTGCGCGCGCAAGGAATCGAGCAAAGATGGCCGCTTCATTCTTGAGGGCCTGGAAGGCGACGAGGACTTGCTCCTCGTTCAGGATGTGCTGTAAGTATACGTAGCTATTTACGCTCGCCTCCCAGTTATCAAAGTTCTCCTCCTTTTTCCCGCCATATGCGTCTAGGAACTTAAGCTTGACGGGCTCTTTGCGGGGCCTAGCCTCACTCTCAACAGCGGCAACTACTTTGGCACCCTCAATGGCACCCTCGCAGAACTTCCCCACGCTGTCTCTCAGTCGCCTAACTTCGCCTCCAACGTGGGTGACCATATCGCGCGCAAAATCTCGAAATCCTGACCGCATGGCACTCAGGGCCACATCCTGACCCCTATTGGCTTGGCGCTCCTCCATCCAGGCCGCACTCAACACTTCCAGATAACCCAACATCTTATCCATTTTGGCAGAGATGTCTGGCTGCGCCTGGACCTCTTGTCGACAATCTCTTACCTTTGCCACCTCCTCGGTCAGCCTATTAACTTCGTCCCTCCTTCTCTTCTTTTCCCTCTTCATCCTCAGTTTCCACTCCAACTTCTTCTCTTCTTCTCTTTCTCGCCGTTCCAGAGGGTCCTCCATTGTCGCTAGCTCACTGGCTAACGCATCCCTCTCGTCCTGGGGCACATAAAACTCTGCTTCCTCATCTTCCCCCAACGATAAATTAGCAATCCACTCGCTTATCTTCTTTTCCATCGCGGCATCCTCCTTTGTCGTGCCACTACTCTCCCTTTTTTCTTCCCTGCGTTTCCTTTCCTCCTCTGCTTCTGCGGCTGCTTCTTCTTCGGCAGCCTTTTTCTTCTCCTCCATCTCTCTCTCTCTCTCGGTCTTCTTCTTCGTCGTGGTCTTCTCTGCAGGTGCGCGGCGGCTTCTCCAACCTCCAGGTCCGTTATGGCGAACTTCTTCTTCTGGCGGCCACCTCAGCTATGGCGCATCAGGCCCTGCACGCGACGGCGCGCATGGAATAGCGGGTACCAGCTCCGATACCAATGCAATCAGACTCTCTTTCATTCACACTCTTCATGCATGCAAACAGTAGCGCAGCAAACTGGCGACATGCGCCCGCTCAAAACTCAGAGATATGGCAATCCAGATACGAGTTCACTTTCAACGGCTATGGCAACTCAGCGCCCAACAACTCACTGTTCGCATACACCGGATCACCCTGGATATCCCACATGCGTTACTCTGCACTCACACACACACACACGGTACACACTAACTCTAACTATGGCGGCTATGGCCGCAACTACCCTATCGCTATGCTACGCTCCTTCTCTCTCGCCCACTTCAGCTCCGGGCTCTCTGCAGACCTCCTTGCACAAGTCGCTGTGGCAGCGCTTCCGCATGGCTCACGCAGGAATGAATGAATGACTGGGCGCTGCCTCTTGATTTATACTTCTGAAGCTCGTTGGTCTGCCCTTTTCCCTCGGCCCATGGTGCTCACAGTCCCTCGTGGTACTTGCTGGACTGGACTGGGACTGACTGGACCATACAACTGACTGAGTGGGGACTCACTGCTATCCTACTGAGGTCGTACTGCAATCGTACTGCAGTTAGTCCACCACTTGGCTCACCACTTGCCCACTTGCTGACCTTCTAGAAGGCTACAGCTAAGACTTCTAGACTTCACTAAGACTTCTATTCGACAGACCTACAGATCGAACCCCTGCTACCTACAGACCCTACGACAGTCTACTAACTGTTACAAATACACAGGTCGTGGGTTCAAGCCTTGGGGTCGACACAGATACTGTACACCGGTAGGGTAAGGGCTAGGGATCGAGCCCTGGGGTCTGCATCTGCTACTGCAAAAGGTGAAAACCGTTTCATGCTAATCTTCTGTGCACTGTTCCAATTTTGACAGATGTCCCGACGAATTCACCACTAGCTTGAGCTCGATGTACCTGACTGCCTCACAGCCCGACCTTGATGTATGTGACTGCAGTTTCGTCCATAAATAAGTATGAAAGTCCTAGTTTGAGTATGCTTAACGTCCTCGTTAAATGTGCAAAATGAGGATGAATCTTCAGCTAGAACATGGAAAGATACACACCCATTTTTTTTGGTATTTTATGCATGCATGTGGTCTGTAGCGGAGCGAGGGCGTAATTCTGACAGATTCGGCACAGGTAATGCCCAATGTATCATTTCAAGAGATCCCTCAGATTCTGCTACTAGATGCGAGACGGCCACAGACAAAAAAAGTAAAAAAACTAATGGAGGCGTACCTTTCCACGTTCTTGGTGAAGATTCAGTTTGCATTTTCGGTGAGTGATGGAGTGTAGCCCTTGTCCGATGGATTCTGGTGGAGGTATAACCCGCCGTCACCACTGGATTCTGGTGGCAGGTAAGAAGTGACCCCACAACGTTCCCTCATCATGAGTACTCGACGTGAAAAGGCAGCAATATCACGGGTGTATCTGTCGGATCCTGTCCACATTCTGCCGTAGCTATACTTTTTTGCAGAGCCTGCCCTCACAAACTTTCGTGCCGTAGCTAAGTTGGCCTTTTTGCAGCATACTCTTTTATTTTGCAGAGCCTGCCCTCACAAACTTTCGTGCCGTAGCTAAATTATTGAATGTGAAGATCTCTGTCCTAAGTTGGCCTTTGTGTGCAGAACAGGGAGGATCAGTGGCCATGACTTTCTGGTTGATGCTTTGCTCCTGCTTATGTGGAAGAATCTTTGATTTTCTGTTAACAAAGTTTCCGCTGACTGCCACTGCTGGTAAGTGCCTGGCCTCATAATTGCTGTTTCCCTTCTCCCCCAGCCCTTCAAAGGGGTTAGCGCTTACGATTATTGTATGCATCAGATTAGGTACCCCCTAACATGAGGGTCTGTTCTTCTTCTTCTTCTTCTTCTTCTTCTTCTTCGTCGTCGTCGCCGTCGTCTTCGTCGTCGTCTTCGTCGTCGTCTTCTTCTTCGTCTTCGTCGTCGTCTTCTTCGTCGTCTTCGTCGTCTTCGTCGTCTTCGTCTTCTTCGTCTTCTTCTTCTTCTTCTTCTTCTTCTTCTTCTTCTTCTTCTTCTTCTTCTTTTTTTTTTTTGATTGTGCTCAGTGCACAATTAAGCTTTCTCTGTGCCGTTGCTTTTTCTCAAATTGTCTGTGAGTGCTGAGTTCACCCGCTCAGTGCACAGTTAACCTTACGCTGTGTGTTTGCCACTCCACATCCTACACACAAGATTGATTGCGCAACATAGACATCCTTCATTTGACTTTCTTTCTTTTCTTTTTTTGTCACTTTCTTGTGTGAAGGCAGCACACAAATGTGACAATGTCGCAACGTCTTTGGATTTTGGATATTGGGGTTTAGGGTTTTCAACGCTGCACAAGTTGCCGAGCGTGCCACCATCGAGTTAACGTTGATGTAATGCTCGTAGGTATAACCATGGTAATGACGAGGGCTCCTCAATTTCTCTCACCCAACATTGTTTGTGGCAGTCACCATCTCACGAAGGTTTGTCGTCAAACCTCCCATGGACAAATGCGCATCCGACGGGCAAACTAAAAATAGCACAGAACGAAAAAATGGTCAATTAAATCCCACGCAAATTCAGCACCTAATCAACACTGCTGAAGCAGTAACCAGCCTCACAATGTGCCTCTGCTGCTGTTTTACTCCACCACAAGTCGACCGACCGCTCCCCCTGGGCACGGCTAGCGTGCATATAGACATGCTCGTTTCTGGCTGTTGTTGCAGCTTGTACTTTTTTTTTTTTTTTTCCTGTTGTATTCAATAATTTTCAATTGTATTGTGTATAACGACTGCACCGGGATAAGGAAAAACGAATGAAGAGTCTGGACTCTAGACCCTGTGTTGGTCATATGCAGGAAAGGAAGGCGTGCAGTATAAGACATAGATTGCTCGTGCGTGTTCCAAAATTAGTTTTTTTGGAATGCACCTGGCCAGGAAATGTGCATGCATGCATGCTTGTTTCTGGCTGCTCATGGTGCTTGTACGTTTTTTTCTGAGAGGCGGGCGGTTAACAGAGGCCCAAAATTTCAGACAACTTGTCATGTGCCATTTTTATAACAAATCAAAGGGTCATTTTACCGAACTTGCCACCAATTCATAGAGTGGAGACCATATACTAACTAATTGGCA